AGTGTGCCATCTGCTGTTTAAAAACTTGCCTAGAACACCGTCTGGTGTTTAAAACTAATCTAGAGCACCATTCGCTGTTTAAAAACTAGCCTAGAGCGTCATCTGGTATTTAAAAAAACTAGCCTAGAGCGCCATCTGTTGTTAAAAACTAGCCTAGAGTGCCATCTGCTGTTAAAAACTAATCTAGAGCACCATCTGCTGTTTAAAAACTTGCCTAGAACACCGTCTGGTGTTTAAAACTAACCTAGAGCGACATCTGCTGTCAAAAACTAGCCTAGAGCACCATCTGCTGTTAAAAACTAGCCTAGAGCGCCATCTGCTGTTAAAAACTGCCCTAGAGCGCCATCTGCTGTTAAAAACTAGCCTTGAGTGCCATCTGCTGTTAAAAACTAGCCTAGAGCGCCATCTGCTGTTAAAAGTTCAGAATCGATTCAAGAGAGAATAGAGATGCATTCTGAAAATCTCATAATCGATTTGAACCAATTTTTCCTTTTTAGACTGGGAGGAAGATCAGCAGAGTCTTAAGCTGGATGAAGTGAAGGAGGAACTTTGCGCAATCACAACCTCAGAGGAAGCCGGCAAACAGCTGCACACCTGCTCACAGTGCGGGAAGGGGTTCAAAGACAAGGCGTACCTGAGCATACACGCCCGAATCCACACCGGAGAGAAGCCGCACTCCTGCCATCAGTGCGGGAAGAGCTTCACCGTGGCGTCAAGTCTGAGTTATCATCTGCGCGTTCACTCCGGAGAAAAGCCGTTTGACTGCAGCGAGTGTGGCAAAAAGTTCAACTCGTCGTCAACTCTGAAAAACCACATGAAAGGGCACTCAGGTGAGAAGCCTTATGTGTGTGCGTCATGCGGAAAGAGCTTCTCACGACTCAGCAACTGCAAACTGCATCAGAAAACGCACAGCGATGTGAGAGAACACGTGTGCTGCGATTGTGGGAAGAGTTTTACTAGAGTCGCTCTGCTGAAGCAGCACCAAAGGATTCACACTGGGGAAAGACCCTACAAGTGTTCACACTGCGAGAAGAGTTTCACTCAATCCGGACACCTGAAAGTGCACGAGCGAGCGCACACCGGAGAGAAACCGTACCACTGTATACCATGCGGGAAGAGCTTTAAAGACGCATCCGGTCTCCATTATCACAAACACACTCACTCCGGGGAAAAGCCCTTTAATTGCGAGCACTGCGGTAAAAAGTTCAACTCCTCATCGCATCTGAAATGCCACTTGAACTCTCACTCGGACGCGAGGCCTTATGTGTGTTCAGTGTGTGAAAAGACGTTTTCCTGGCTGAACAGTTATAAGCTGCACATGAAGACGCATAATGAAGAGAGAGAGCATGTGTGCTGCGATTGTGGGAAGAGCTTCATTAGAATTAGCCTGTTGAAACTCCACCAAAGGGTTCACACTGGAGAAAAACCCTACAAGTGCTCGTGCTGCGACAAGAGTTTCGCTCAGTACGCAAACCTGAAAGTGCACATGCGCGTTCACACCGGAGAAATGCCCTATCACTGCACTCAGTGCGGCGAGAGTTTCAGACATTCAACAAGCCTTCATAAACATAAGAAGAAGTTTTTCCATTGAGAGAAAAGCTTGGACAACGAGAAATATTTCAAGGAACGCTGTGCTTTTTGTGGAAATAGGCTCATTGTACAACTCCACTACAGTTAAACTGATGATTTATACCATTTTGTAATCCATTCAGCCGATTTATGTGTCTATGGAGCACTTTTAGCTTAGCTTAGCATAGATACTTGAATCAGATTAGACCATCAGCGTTTTGCTCAATTAAAAAAAAAAGTAATTCAATAATTTTTCTATTTGAAGCTCGAGTCTTCTGTAGTTAGTCGTGTACTCGGACTGATGGAAAATGAAAAGTTGTTATTTTCTAGGCGCATTAATATTAGAATTATTCAGAATATGGCAGCATTTATTTTGTCAGTCTTAGTACACAACAAGTACAAAGGAGTCAAGCTTTAAATAGACAAATTATCACGACACTTTAGTGAGCGAGATTACTGACAAGTTTCTCCGTTTTTGAACCCCTTCAGAACATTTCCAGGTCTGGCGGGAACATTTTTAGCTTAGCTTAGCATAGATCATTGAATTGGATTAGACCATTAGCATCTCACTCAAAATCTTTCAAAAATATTTTCATTAATTTTCCTATTTAAGGATTAAATCTGCTGTAGTTAATCGTGTACTCAGACTGACGGAAAATTAAAAGTTGCTATTTTCAATGAAACTATAGAAGACTCGAGCTTTAAATAGGAAAATGATCAAAACACTTTTGTGAGTGACATCACTGACCAGTTTCACCATTATTTTAATCCATTCAGACTATTTCCAGCTCTGGCGGGAACACTTTTAGCTTAGCTTAGCATAGATCATTAAATCAGATTAGACCATTACCATCTCGCTGAAAATGTTAAAAAAGCTTGACTTTTCCTTGGTTACATCATGTACTAAGTTTGACGAAAAATGTTGAGATGCTATTTTGTAGGCGCAATAATATTACACAGCACCTGAAAATAGCTCTGAATTGTCTATTGTAAATGTCAAGATTTTACCCAGAAATGGGTTGCAGATGGAAGGGCATCTGCTGCGCAAAACATATGCTGGATAAGTTGGTAGTTTATTCCACTGTGGCGATCCCGGATTAATAAAGGGACTAAGCTGAAAACAAAATGAATGAACGAAATGTCAAGATTCTCATGCACTGCATTAAATCATTGTGCCTACTACAGCCGTGGTTCGACAACAAAGTTTCTTAATTATTATGCAAGAATGAGAGTATAGTTCTTTTCTATACTGGCCAAGAAAATAGCAGCCTTTCATGTTTTGTCAGTCTTAGTACACGATGAAACTACAGTCAAGCTTTAAATAGGAAAATGATCAAAACACTTTAGTGAGCGAGATTACTGACCAGTTTCACCATTATTGAATCTCTTCAGACCATTTCCAGCTCTGGCGGGAACACTTTTAGCTTAGCCTAGCTTAGCATAGCATAGATCATTGCATCGAGTTAGACCATTAGCATCTCACTGAAAGTTTTTTTAAAAATATCTTAGTTAATTTTCCTATTTAAGGATTGACTCTGCTGTAGCTAATCGTGTACTCAGACTGACGGAAAATTAAAAGTTGCTATTTTCTAGGCACAATAATATTACGCAGCGCCTAAAAATAGTTCTGAATCGTCTTTCGCAAATGTCAAGATTTTCATGCACTGCATATTAAATCATTGTGTCTGCTACAGTCGTGGTTCGACAACAAAGTTCCTGATTATTATGCCAGAATGAGAGTATAGTTCCAATCTATCTCGATCAAGAAAATAGCAGCCTTTCATGTTTTGTCAGTCTTAGTACACGATGAAACTACAGTCAAGCTTTAAATAGGAAAATGATCAAAACACTTTTGTGAGCGACATCACTGACCAGTTTCACCATTATTTATTCTTTCCAGACCATTTCCAGTTCTAGCGGGAACGCTTTTAGCTTAGCATAGATCATTGTATTGGATTAGACCATTAGCATCTCAATGAATTTTCAGAAAAGACTTCCTATTTAAAGCTTGACTTGCTGTAGTTAATCATGTACTCGGACTGACAGAAAATGAAAAGTCGCTATTTTCTAGGTGCAATAATATTGCGCAGTGCCTAATTATAGTTCTGAATCATCTCTTGCAGATGTCAATGTGCTGTATAATACTATTGAGCCTTGATTTTATGCCAGAATGAGAGTATAGTTCTAATATGAGAGTATATTGTGTCATTCTAAACTACAGATTAGTCAAGCTTAAAATTGTGAATGGATCAAAACGTGATTCTTTTTTGCTAATGGTCTAATCCGATTTAATGATCTATGCTAAGCTAAAAGTGCTTCTGCTAGACCCAAAAACCAGCTGAATGGATTCAGGAATTATAATGTTTAACTCTAGAGTTGTAAAATGAGCCTGTTTCCTATGAAAAGTGTAGTGTTCCTTTAAAAGTTGCTTTACACTACTAAAGTGTACTACTTTACACTCTTAAAGTGTAAATGAAGTATTTCATGAATTCTGCCTGGATGGGTTGTGTGCTATGTTAAATTAATTCACGTAATTTTACTTTTTTTTACCATTAGAATATGATATTGTTATTTATTATAGACCTATATAGACTAACTACTGTAGGAATTGTTGTACTATTTTGTACATTTTTGCTGCTTTGATTACATCTTTTGTTAACATATGTGACCCTGGACCACAAAACCAGTCATAAGGGTGTTGTTTGTATTATTATTATTGAGATTTATGCATAATATGAACGCTGATTATTCATTCAACAACTGATATAAACTATTTGTGCACCTGGAATCTGAGGGTTCAGAAAAATTTAATTAAATGTTTAGAAAATCACCTTTAAAGTTGCTCAAATTAAGTTGTTAATGCATAACAATAATCAGAAATTAAGTTGTATATATAATATACAACTCTTTGAATTTTTTTTCCTTTTAAATATTTCCCAAATGATGTTTAACAGAGCAAAGAAATTTTCACAGCATGTCTAATAATATTTTTTTCTTCTGTAAAAAATCTTATTTGTTTTATTTCAGCTAGAATAAAAGCAGTTTTAAATTTTTTAAACATCATTTTAGGGACAATTTTTAGCCCCTTTAAGCTATATATTTTTTCGATAGTCTACAGAACAAACCATCGTTATACAATAACTTGTCTAATTACCCTAACCTGCCTAGTTAACCCAGTTAACCCTTTAAATGTCACTTTAAGCTGTATAGAAGTGTCTTGAAAATATCTAGTCAAATATTATTTACTGTCATCATGGCAAAGATAAAATAAATCAGTTATTACAGATGAGTTAATTAAACTATTATGTTTAGAAATATGTTGAAGAAATCTGCTCTCCGTTAAACAGAAATTGGGGGAAAAATAAACAGGGGAGCTAATAATTCTGATATCAACTTTATATTAGGGATGCTCTAATCCTTCGGCTGAAGATTGGTATTGGCTGATAATCACATTTTTTGACTTGATTGGTACTCGGGTATCTGCCCGATCCCATAAACCAACCACAAGTGTTTGTGAGTTTATAAGATGCATGTGCACGTTCATATATAAGAGATATGTTTGAGTGATTATATACAGCAATCTTAATTTATTCTTTTTGGTAAAAGAAAAGCTCCACTTGAGTATCATATTTAGTGGGAAAATGTGCTTTAAAAGCTTGAAACATCAGAATCGGCACTCTGTATCGGTCTATCACCATGACAAGGAATCGGTACTCTGTATCGGCTGCAAAAATGCTGATCGGAGCATCCCTAATACATATTTCCGTCTTTCGGATGAGAAGTTAAACCGAGGTACTGACTCTCGTAAAGAGCAGGGGTGTAACCCCGGTGTCCTGGCCAAAGTCCCTCAATAGGCCCTTACGATCATGGCCTCCCAATCATCCCCTTCCACCAAATTGGTTCTATCACTGTCTCTCCACTCCACCAATAGCTGGTGTGTGGTGAGGGCACTGGCGCGGTTGTCCTGTGGCTGCCGTCGCACCATCCAAGTGTATCCTGCACACAGATGATGGTGTGGAGAGACCCCCCCCCCCCCATTGATTATAAAGCGCTTTGAGTGTATGGCCATACACAATAAATGCGATATTTATAGGAAATTTACAAAATACCTTCATGGAAGATGATCTTAAAATGTCTTTTAATGTCGTTTTGTTTTATTTTTTTAACGTTTTGTTCTTCAGGGTCACATTTATAAAGTTGTGTTGGATAAAAGTGTCTGGCAAATGATGTCAAACGTAAACATCATCTTTTAAAGCTTATCAGTGATCACAAGTAAATGCAACAGAGGTAAACGAAGCCAAAACGGCAATATATTAATCCTGCAAATGACTTTAAAGATTAAATGCCTGCACCACAAATCAGTGTGGTAAACTATTGTTTTTTTTTATTTTTGTTATCTCAATAAATCACAGTCATATCATTCAGAAATGAGCCGTGTGTTTGTTTTTTCATGAGAAGCTTATCATGACTATAAAATTGTAAGCTGCACCAGAAAATACCTCATCTCACGAGAAAATGTAAATATTTTACACTTTGCCAGTTTTGTGGCTAATTTGTACAAGTTCTATCGTACGAAATTGTATGATTTTAGAAAGGAGGCGTGGCACCCAACCCCACCCCTAAACCCAACCATCATTAGGTGATGAGCAAATCGTACACTGCAAAAAAAATGCTTTTCTTGCTTAGATTTTTTGTCTTGTTTCTAGTTCAAATATCTAAAAACTCCTAAATCAAGAAGCATTTTCTAG